ATATTAACCCAAATTTAATTAACTTTCGTATTATTTCAAAACTATTGAGTAGTAAAAATTCGTATATTTTTGCTCAAAATGTTTGCCTGTATTTATTAAAATTTAAAAATTCAATATTTTAAGAAATAAATAAAGTAGGCCCAGTGATTCATATTGTCACAGGAGAATGGCAACAAAATGAATGGTAGAAAAAGGTAAAGCTATCTCTGTAACAGGCTGTGGGGGCCCATAGGCTTGTGACACGTCGAGGCTCCAACATATTCTAGACAATAGACTCATAGATGGCGGTGATGTTGTCAGTCTTATGTGCCGGCAACCCTTTACCCCCCCCTCCCCGAAGATTCCTGGTATTCATTTCTGTTAGAGGCGAGTCGAACCCAGGGATATAATGCGGCTGGAAAGATTAGGTCAATTGAAAAATCCAACGACTGCTTTAAATTTATTTTGCATATTACGAAGAATTTTTTTGGGGGGGGGGGCGTTGTTACAATATGTAGTTTCGTGGAAGTATACTACATAACCCCACAACAGTAAACATCACAACCCTAATAATCACCACCATGAAAACTCAAAATGTAGGCCTGTATTTCTCGTATGTTTGCTTCATTCACAAAATGTGATTTTAAAACAGCATCTATTCTACTGGTCTTTAATGTGTTCCAGAATGTGAGATCTGAATGTGTAGTATATTCCAGAATGTGAGTTTTGAATGTCTAATATATTCCAGAATGTGATACATGAATGTCTAATATATTCCAGAATGTGCGCTCTGAAGATCTAATATCTTCTAGAATGTGAGATCTGAAGGTCTAATATATTCCAGAATGTGAAATCTGAATGACTAATATATTCCAGAGTGTGAGATCTGAAGGTCTAACATATTCCAGAATGTGAAATCTGAAGGTCTAACATATTCCAGAATGTGAGAGCTGAAGGTCTAACACATTCCAGAATGTGAGATCTGAAGGTCTAATAGCGGAGAATATGAAGGTTATTCTTCTCCTGGATGTGACGCCGTGTAGTCTCGTGGATCGTTACAATAGTTTCACACAAATCTGCTACCTCCATCTTCACAGTAGAAGAGGAGTGTGTCACAGACTACACTAAATTATTTGTCATAAAAATTTAAGGCTTATTATTTTTAATCTACGTTATTCATGAAAATAACAGGCTAAGTAGGCCACAATATAATGTAAACCTTAATTCAGGGTCTTGTAACTAAAGCATAGAATCTACATGTAACGTTGAAATGTATTGTTGTGCTAAATAAAGAGATAGAAAAGACAAGTGTTCTTTCCCGAGACTATTCTCGTAAGCAGCTACAAATTCGATTAATGAAAATAATGATTAGGCCTATACGCGTGACGAATGCATAAATTAGGCCTCAGACGTGCTACGTATATCTTGAATTCTTCACGTGCAGTCTGAAAAGTCATGCCTGAAGCTGACAGTCATCTGTCCGCTCTTTACAACGATTTTAACTAACTCCATGGAGCTCAGTCCTCCTTGAGAAGCCAAACATCGCTCAGCTACTCGGGAACTTCCTAACATTCTATGGAAGCCTAAAGTTCATTACCGCGTTCACAAGATCCGTCCACTAGTCCCTTCCCTGAGTCAGATGAATCCAGTCAATACCATCTTATTTCTTTAAGCTCCATCTTAATATTATCCTCTTAGTTTCATCTAAGCTTTCATAATGGTCCCTTTCCTTCTGTCTTTCTCAAAAATCCCTATATGCATTCCTCACCATACGTGCTATATGTCCTACCCATCTTATCGCCTTAGACTTCATCATTCTAATTATACTTTGCGTAGAGTACAATTTATGAAGCTCCTCATTACGTGGTTTCTTCCAAGTTTTTATTATTTCATCCAAGTAATCTCCCTTTCTCAAATTCAGCTATTCTGAATCAATTCTGATTTTCCGGGTACAATAGGAATTCTATATAGTTTCCATGCTACTGGTGCAATATATGCTGCACTGTACATAACGTTCCCTGTACGTCACTGGTGCCGAGATCAGAAGTGAGGGAATCCAAGTGCGACATTGGTTGAAACATAATTTTCCATATAATCTGCACTTCGAAAAAGCATTATCCTATTATTATGGGTGACTATGGTTTTCAGTGTTAGTTTAAACTCTTAAAATAGTAGAATAAAATAATAGTCACTCATAATTCTAAGCTCTCATACTTCAAAATAAAATAGGCCTAATTCTAAGTCATGAAGAGAGACAATTCGTGTGCATAACGACCACAAATTTGGCCTGGATTTTGAACACATACCAGCTTCTAATGTTGTACAGTACTTATTTTGAAACATTAAATTAATCTAAATCAGGTTTAATATTCAGTTCATCCTTACAAAAAGAGTCGAGTAATTCTGTTTAAGCAAATAATCGCTTTTTCTTTTTCGAGACTCATATAACGCGCATGTGCGTACTCTCAGAGTGAAGTGCAGAGTTTTAATCTTGAAGCACTTGGTAAGGCTTTCATACAGAAAGGAATATAATTTAAGAGATTAAATTTGAATTATTTTAATCTTATTCAAATAAGATAGTATATAGGTAAAAATGTGCCTAAGAAATAGGCATAATAACTGAGCTTTTAATTGTTATTTAACGATGCTCTTCGTCATGATTATATCTAGCGTCAGTGATAAGATGAATAATGGAATTAGAATTGGCAGGGGAAACTGAAAATCTGCCCCAGTACCACTGTGTTCAACCTAATTGCTGATATAAAATCATTTCATTCTAACGAAAAATAATTCATATCTTTATTTCAAAAATTCCAAAGAAAATATTCCCATGAACCATGGATGTACATCGAGGCCGACCCACGAATAACAGCCCTAAATAATAAATTGCAAATTGTCTCATTTACATATTATACAACACTTCACATATTAAAATAATGGACATTACGGTCTCAAACAAACGACTGCTCGCTCGTTCGTGACCCATTGTGTAACTTACCTACATGCGACATGTTAACGATCGAGAATTCGTTGCTATGATAACCCAAAGTTGAATAATGACAATTACAAATCTCATCCTTAAAAATATGTGTTCTCCTATGCATGGAAGAAAGAAATGCGTTTCTTCTGTAAGTAAAAGTAAAGTTATCCCTATATCAGGACGTGAAAGCCCATGGAGCTTCGGGACGTCGAGGCTCCCATAATTTCTCTAGATAATCAGCTCACAGATGGCGGTAAGATTGTAGCCTTACGCTCTGGCATGCCGCCCATTAGCCCTAGGAACATTCCTGACAGTCGTTTCTGTTAGAGGTCGAGTCGACCCCAGGGCCATAGTGCGGCTGGAAGGATTAGGTCAACTGAAAAATCTAATGAGATCATCGAGACTCGAACCCGCGACCTTCTCACTTCTAACACAGTGCCTCAACCATCTACGCTACCGCGTACCTCCTGTTCTGGAAATACCTATAATAAATCATGGGATAAACTCTCTGCTTTGATTTCACTGTTTTTGATTTATAAATTTCTTCCGGAAACTGTATCTTTGCTTAAGGGAGATATGATATGTAAATCTGTATATATGAATTTATATTCGTTTCAATAGTATATTATGGAATTCCTTGTTTGTGCAGTCTGTTATGTAACTCCATGTAGTCCGTTGAAAGGCAATCGACATTTCAGACCGCCACCATCTTCAGGGTCGAAGAATAAATCAAGCAAGAAACGAGGTAGCAAAGAGATCTAAGAGATAAAACTCTTCATATCCACCTCTGTGAAAACATCAAATCCTACAATATGAACATCTGTTTATATCTGTTTCAGTATCAAATATCCAGTCTTCTCAAGGCGCTCTCTTTGAGTGATGTAAATGAATATATTAGAAGAGAAATTCTAAAAGGACAGACATTGTATACAACAACTGTTACATCCGCCTAATCGATATGCAGCCTGTCAAAATACTGATACTATAAGCAAATATCCAGTTACCGCTGTTTATATTAGGTCCTAGCCATAAGACACCCTTTCGCTATGGAAGTTAAGCCTCCAGCCTTTGTTTGGTTATCCTAGCCTGTGTTACATCAACCAAGTCCCATCCTATCCATTATATGTAGGCTACCACCAGAACAAGCTCCTTAGCATGTAGAGCGGGACAGTATACACTCCAGTCGACGATGTTATCGATCCAAGAAAACCCACCTTGCACCGCCTCACCCTCCACCACCGCCGCGACGCGACGCCATCTTGATTCCGGGGGAGTCAACGCTAATTAAGGAGCTCGTCTCCTGCAAACACCCCCTGCCACCCCCTTCGTCTCTATATTGTGAGACGCAGAATTCAGCTTAGATAAAGTGATCACTACTCTCTCTCTCTCTCTCTCTCTCGTAATGATAACAACTGAACACACACACATACACTTACACTTCATCACCAGCGGTCTCAGAATCTGTACTACTAGAAAATTTCTTAAAAAAATACACTGATGTCTGCAGAAAGTGTTTCGAGGCTCGCAATAACCATTAGGTTTTAAAATAACGACTGGCTTAAACTCGCACTGCAGCTATGTGTTACACATATACATCAAATACATCTAAGGCAGCACATTTTTCATGCCTGTAAGGGTTCCTTGCGCAGCTATCTACGAGAAGAAAGGACAGAAGGAGAGAGAAATATACAGAATACGGTTTTGTGGGGATTACATATACACAACACACAATAGAAATCTGAGGGCAGTCAGTTTTAAGATATTCACCGGAAACCTGTCTTTTTTCTTACGTTATTATATTAACAAGTCGGGCTGGATGTAAAACCTTGGACCAAGTTTCCCACACAAGGACCGAGACATGTTTGTTTCTTGTCCATGCAGAGAAGGGGTGGCTTCAGCCAGCGTAAGGGGGAAAATGGATGCTGCAAGCAGACTGGGAGGCAGGGGCCCTGGAGCCAAGGCCTAACCTGCTAGCTTGCTGCAAACAGCTACATGCAAACTTAGAGCTAACAGACAACGTTTGAGAAATGGATTACCTTACCTTGTTCTCTTTTCTGTGCGTGTGAAACTAGAAGTTCTGTGGGTGAACAGATGAGAAGAGAAGCAGATGCTATGAAAGGCTTATGTCTATTTAAGAAACGAAGAAAGCCTTAAAAAAAAATAAAACGAACTCATTCCCTCGTGACTGGTGTCTTCCTGCAACGCTGAGGCTCAACGGACCTTTTTACATTTTTCAACTCGGAAAAGCTCCAACACTCATTCCCCTCGCCCCCCACCCTCCGCGATGACGTCAAATACAAAAAGAAAAAAAAGAAGTCAGAAAAGATGAAAACGGCTTGAGAGAGACTAGCGCCAAATATGCTACGAGAAGAACTGGATATTGTGTCACATAAAAACGCAACCAATACGTTGAATGGCCTACGTGTTATTCTTTTTGGCTATCTTCATTTTGTGATTTTTACTGCGACGGAGGGGGGATGGTTGAGCATTTTTAGGAAAACGTGAGGTGCGCAAGTAACGAAACGTTTCCCCTACGCTCCCCGCTCGTAAGTTCCGACACGCCCACGATCGATTGCGAACCAATCAACGTGGCGGGGGAGGAGTCAAAACGCGGAATTGATCGTCTCCTTAGCAAGAAGACTTAAAAGAAAAGAAATTAAAGTTCATCTTAGGAAATATTAGAAGCAGAAGGATGGATAACGGTAGCCACCCTCTCCTCAAGAAAATTAATGCTGACGAGCACATGAAATTAATTTTCATTTCGCTGTTTATTCCGACTTCCTTGCCAGACCCCCCCTCCCCTTCTTTTGTGTGTTCCCTTCTGTGGGCACATCTGATGTATTGTTCTTTACAAGAATATCCACACTGCGAAGTTTCCTTCACTTTGAGAATGAAGGTTCCTACAGATGTGACAATGGAAACGAACAACTTTCATTACCGAGCAGACTGGTATAGCAGTAACGCTCTAGATTTGTGTTCACATGGTCTTCGGTTTGACTCTCGTCCAAGTTCTTCCTCACTCGCTAGGAAAATGCCAGGGTAGACCCTAAAGCTATCAGACAACCACCACTAAGCCCACATCCATTTTAATTCAATGGTTATCATAACCTTCGACGCTATACAGACTGACATACAATAAACCTTCGCTAATGGGGATTATAATTATTGAAGCAAAATACAGCCCTAAAAGACAAATAAAAATTAGAAAACACATAAATGGAAAATATAAAATATAGGTACTGGTAAAATCTATTCCTGTACCCGGCCCTGGAGACTGGAGACTCATATTATTGTGTGATGCTATCGCTCTCACGTTATCTATACAATGGGCTAGCAGATGGCGGTGAGGCTGACAGCCTTACACGCGTGCCAACCTTTACCACCCAGGAAGATTCCTGGTACTCATTTCTATTAGAGGCTCTGTCGATCCCAGGGACCTAGTGCGACTGGAAGGATTAGGTCAGTTGAAAAATCCAGTAGCTTCATTAGGAATCGAACCCGCGACCTTCCGACTTGTAGCACATTGCTTCAACCAACTATGCTACAGCGTGCCCTCAGAGAGGGGTAATGAAAATAAATTAAAAAAGGTCACTGCAGCAATTCCTTCCTGTATCAGGAGCTGAAATCTAAGGTCTCCTTCATCCAGTTCAAGCCAATCTTGGATATTTTGTTGTGTTGCTTCAGTCTCTCCGGCTGCCCTCAACACAGTCTGAAAGTGCTCTTGCTCTAACCCCTCTTGCTCCTAAATCCCGCGCGTCTTTTAAAGGATGTACTCAACTATGAACAGATTATTTTTCCATATTTCGATCCGGATTAACGAGGGTTTATTGTACTGATAACATCGTAAAATAAACCACAAAAAATATTTCTTCTGGACTATGACATCGTGTATTTCGGTAGATGTTACTAACATTTAGGAGGAAACTGCTGGATTCCATCTGATTTATAGAAGATTAACTTATCTGTCATGAAGAAGGGGGCTGAAAGTTCCCGCGAAACTTTGATATCGATCTACCTAACTACATAGCGTTATATCCCAGATAACGAAATATTTCACCATAACATTAGTCACATGTAGACCCATAGTTTAGGTGTGGTGCCTGTGTGTTTACTTCTCTTCTTAGGTTAACATTTCATGGTTTGAAAATATTAGGCATTTGCTAAGAAACGACATGTACTCATATTCTAACAGACTTACTGCAGGTCCCACCATATAGTGCCCTTTACTATCACATTACATTCAATTACAAAACAAAACCTTGATGTAATTTAAGGTTAATATTACTATCCTAACATGGCCCCACATCTACAATATAATTCTTAGGAACACACAAGTACAGTAAACGCTTTCTAGCCCATTACAGTTAATCCGTATCGAAATACCAAAAATAAAAATGAAGATTATCGCCTTCTGGGATGTGGCGCCGTGTATATCTGGTGAACCGACGTTTCGGACGAACGTTCCTCCAAATCTGTATGCAGCGACACACTGGTGGTCCGCTACAACGTATCAAATGAGAGATGAAATTTTATAAGAAATTATGTATTCATATATAGTAGCTTAACTCCATGTAGCTCCGTCCTTCTTGAGGAGCCCCCAGTCTATCAGGTACTAAAGAATTTCCCAAAATTTCATTGAACCCGAAGGTTCATTACCGTGTTCACAAAAGTCCTCCACTGGTCCCTATGCGGAGCCAGACGAATAGAGTCTACATCAGCACATCCCACGTCTTAGTCTTCCTAGTGGTATTTTTCCTTCTGGTTTTCCCACCAAAGTCCTATATACACGTATATGAATTCCTCGTCTCTCCCATGCATCCTACACGCCCTGCCCATCTCATCCTCCTCGACTTAACTGTCGTAATTACACTTGGTGAAGTGTACAAGTAATGAAGCTCCTCATTAATATTCATATGTAGCAGTTAGAAAAAAGTGGGGCACGTGGTGACGTAGTTGGTTGAGGCAGTATGCTACAAGCTGGAAGATAGCGGTTCAAGTCTCGATAAGGTCACTGGATTTTTTCAATTTACCTAATTCTTCTAGCCGCACTATGGCCATGGGGTCGACTCAGTCTCTAACAGAAATGAGTACCAGGAATATTCTTGGGGGTAAAGGGCGGCCGGCGAGTAGGGCTGACAAACTTGCCACCATCTATGTGTCGATTGTATAGAAAATGTGGGAACCTCAACATCTCACAACCCTACGGGCCTCCACAGCCTATTACAGGGATACTTTTACTGTTTTACTTTAGTAGTTAGAAATAATAATATTGTGGTATTACCCCCGAAAGCCGAAATAGCGGAACCAGGCGTCGATTCGGCAAACAGGTTGCTGCGAAAACGAATACACAAACAGCAATCGAAGTGTTGTTAGGCTATAACGATGGAAACTATGTTTTCTGTTGGGTCCGACCTCAGGCTATATAACGAGGGCTCGACACCAAGACAGACAGACTGACTGACCGTCAGTCGTAATGTGACTTTGAGCTGAATAAGAATTGAAGGAGTCTCTTGAGATGGCAGTCGAAGATGCCTGAGAAGAGAAGGCAAGAAATAAATTAGGCTGTGACAATAAGACTTCATGTGCGCTGCAATTGCAGTGAGACTGGTATAATTACTGTGTTAAAATCCGTTGCCAGGATACGACTAATGTAGACTGACAACTCTAGTTTGTCTTCAACGGTGAATTTTAAAGTGTTTAGATCAGTGATAGCGCTGTATTACCTATAGTCACGAGTTTAGGGTATGAAGACAATAAATCCAGTTGTCCAATCCATGCCCCGTCTATAAGTCACAACCCAATATTTTTGACTAATTAGGATGTGCCAGGGGTGAAGAAACATCACAGAACACTGGATTAAACTATGCACACTACCTCTGTATTAAGAACAAAACTGAGCGGGAAAGAATTTCTGAACTACCTTTCGAAAACTTGTGACTAAACCTCTTCTCCACAGAATGCAGTCCAGGGATCGAGCTCCCTCCTATCCAATGGATACAGAGGACTCTTCAGCCGGGAGTAAAGCGGCCGGACCGTAAAGCTGACTACTCACCTCCATGTAGTGTTGAGTTCAAGAGGCCAAGAATTGTGTAGTTATCCCTTCATACGTCTTCATGGCGTGGTGTTTGATTAAGCACATGGACAACTTTACCTTTACAGAACAAATTCCACAACCTAATTGCTGCATATATTGTCGTGTATATGAATGGCTATAGGCGGGGTTTGCATTGAAGATCGGTTTAATGGACTCTTTGATAAAGCGTGTGACTATATTTTAAATATCACTGTTACACACAGACACTAGTGTCCATAGCTATGTCTACCCTAGCCATTGCTTTGTAACGGCTTTCAACGGTGGACGTTCCGCAGAACCTTTGAGTTTCGATTTATCCCCGGCCCCATTTACAAGGTTCTAACAGCAACAGCTCACAACCACTAACTTACAGCCGTTCTCTAACTCACCAACAGAAAAACTCAGTCACCAACCAGGTAACTCCACTGAATCTCACTAACTCTCCTGTTTATAAAATTTCGACATGGACCACATAAACAACATCGTTTCGTTATTTTTCTGTAATTGTTGCCTTGGAAAAGTGTTTGTTTGTGAAACTGTTGCTGAGCAACGACAGTTTTATTGCTATTTCTTTCGCGTTCGTTTACTAGCAAAGGGGTCTACATATCATAATATCAATATTGATCCATTCTACTTACTTGTACCCTGGGGATGGAAGCAGGATAAACCTCCGAAACGCCGACAAAAAATATTTAAATTTATAAGGTATAAAAGAGTAAAATATTATCAAATATATTTAATTAATATTGTTTTACAAAATACTCCACGGCCAGGCATCGGCAATAACAGAATATCTGAGAATATTTTGTGCTCTGCTGATCGTCAGCTCTTTGTCAATGACGTCACGTAAGCTTGTAGTGTGAATCGACTGCAGTTAGGTCGAATCGATTAACTGCGGCTCGCTGCAACACAGACCCACATGCTCTGCACAGAAATCTCACTTGAGACGCAGCGGCAAGGCTCTAGACTTATATCTTGGAGCTTCTCGGTTCTCAGTTCGGCCGAATTCCGGTCTTCGTGGTTCTCCCCAGTTACTCCAGGTAAATTGTGGGATATTACAAAGTCAATAGAAAGTCCGTCGAGGGTAACAATGTAACTCGACGGACTTTCTATTGACTTTGTGATTGATAGTGTAACGGACCAAAAATGAAACAATTCAAAAAAAAAGAATGTGGGATATTATTTCCATTAGACGATGATCTTTTCCTCGCGAATCCTTACCTATTCATCATTCATCATTTACCTTACCATCCAACTGTGCGTGACCTCATTATTGAAAGCGTCATCATATAAAAGAAAAGTAAAGTTGTTTCTGTGCCCAATCAGTCAAGAACTATGCCTTGAAAGCATCAGGGGCACTGGAGGTAT